CATATAAGGGTTTTAAAAATGGTAGGAACACACTTTTATGGGATTTCCAAAGTAAGCTGTATCTGTAATTTGGGATGATGCCAAGGTCATGAGAATCAAAAACCAGTCATTGGATAAGAGGACTAATGCCCCCTTACAGTTCTCTGATTCGGAGGTCACCAGTAAGAGTGAAATGGACTTACATGTTTGCCATGGACAGAAATCCTTCCCAAGTGACTAAACTGTCTACCCCTTTGTGTCTTTCAATGCACACCATTCCATCTCAAATTCCCCGTGTGTTTTGAACCTGTCATGTGTGGTCACTAAAGGTAATTTGCGAACATGTCTCTGCTTAAGGGTGACTGGTTTAGCACCTTATTGAAGTAACATAAAAATTAAGTTATTTCAAGTTCCAACTCACTTGTGTTTTGCCTCCATTTTGAACGAGGATATGGTCTCACATTGCCTGGCAGTGTGTTTATAGTTGCCACCATGATTTCACATTCTCCGGCATTTCACAGATATACATGACATAAGACTATGAATGCAATGTATAAAAAAAAAAAAAAGCCCTCAGGTGGTTGTTAATTTTTGGCACTGTGTAATTAAACTAGTTTTTTTAATGTTATCTTTTGCCAGTATCTAATTAGCAAAGCCATCTGCTGAAAGAGTAGTGGCCCATCTGCCTAGAATGTTGTTCTCTTCATTTTTATGAAAAGTATCTGCCTTTGCTGGTCCTTGTCTAATTAACTTCTCTCGCTGCGGTATGTGATAATACACAGCTTTGTTTATATACTTCTGAGAACTGTGGATTTATATGTATGTAACACGTACATAGAAAGAGCCAATCTTTTTTCTTTCCCACATTTGATTTTACCCCTGAGATCGGAGCTCCGTTTATCATAACTTGAGCATATGTATGTGCGTGATGGTGAGGTATGTATGGTGTCGTGCTTCTTCCATCCAGGGCTTCCACGGGTATAAAATGATACGCTGTAAATCTACTCTATTTCCTTTTCCATCTGTCTCTAGCACTGTGGCTTCCTGAAAGTTGATGATGTTATAAGTTCCAGGTCTCTGGATCTGAAATGAACATGGCTATTGGAACGATGGAAATGACCATGGTGAAGTTCTCAGAGTGAGCAAGTTCTCAGAGTTAGCAAGATGTTGTCCAGACTGATGAAAGACACTTGTATTTTATCATAAACTAATGTCTGACATGTGCAAATATCACCTATATGTCTGTTTCTCTTCCATCAAAATTATCTAGCACAGCGTCTTGCCCTTGGTAGGTGGGTACTTCCTAACTGTGTATGACATGAAAGAGAGAATGAATGCAAATGCGTAAAGCAGAGCTTCTGTAGGTAGTTGAAGAGCACAGATGTTATTGGTATATATTTATATACAAAACAAAAATAAGGTTCTGTGAATGGGAATCTTGTCTTTTAAGATGTAGATGCTTCACATTCTTTGCCTACTGTGTATAGCCTTTGGATATCCAAGTAACCACGGTATTACTTCTACATGTGTGCTGCCAGAAAGTATAATGAAGATTAAATGCAGAACGGAATAGAGAATTAAGATTTTTTTTTTCCCCTCTGCAGGGCTATTGTGCAATAGGAAAAGACAAGAGATGATAAAAATTAGATTTAAAAAAAAAAGAGACTCAGGAAATAAGATCACGAGTGTTGTACTGAGATCTGAGATGTAGCATGTTAATGCCTTCGCATTTGTTTTGACTGTCATAAAGATAGGTTGTGTAGATACAAAAGTGTCTTAAAAGGAGGTCAACTGAAAAGATGGCTTCACGAAATCAGTAGTGGGATTGGTTCCAAAATTATGATGCATGAAAGAATAACAAAAATCTCCTGTGAGAATATAGTGAGAAGACTTGACTAAATGAAATTTAATTTATTAGAACAATTCTTGTGGAGTAAAGAAAATTATGAACAGGTTAAAACATAATATAATTTCAAACAGGGTGAGTAACTTTGAGAAATAAACTCTGGTACAGGAGGATTCTACTGATACTCATATTTCTCTCTAATAAAAGTGTTCTTTTCCCCCCATAGTTGTGAAGTGGTCAGATGGGTTAAGTTCAGTTCATTGAGAGAATAGAAGGACACTATGGGATCAACATCCTATTTTAGGCCAATCTGGAGAAGACATGTTTTCCCACTGCATTCTTTGATAAATTCTGTGACATCCAGTAATATTTGTCCAGCCCTATGGTAGGTAGTTCAGTCCACTCCTAATATAAATCTGGTCTACCCTGTCCTCTATTCAGGTAGGAAGTGAATCAGCAGAAAAGCCGAACAGTCATGGTCTTTAATTAATTCTGGATTTGGATATTATTGGAAAGCTAGTTATACTGTAATAAAAATGCCTCAGAAGTAACTTTGCTTCTTTTAATAACTGTCTTCAGAAAAATCTGTAAGATTCGTCCTATTTTCTATTGGTCTAATAAACTTGTGAGTGCAAGTGCTTTTTCTTGCCAAACTGGATAAAGTAATGAAATATTCTTGAAAACTCTCCTTCTTTTTTCTATTACTTTCCCCATCCAATCGTTGGCCTTCAATTATCTTAAAAACACACAGGCTACTTGGGCATTAGGCAGGCTGGGGAAGCCATTTCTTTGTGATTGCGGCAGAAGGATTTGAAAAATTCTGATGGCATTTGATAAATTTTCTTGCAACCCTGGGACTAACCATGCTCCTCATAGGTCTTACGTTTATGAAAAGAGAATTACTCTTTAACTTTCAACAAAATCACTGGACTAACAAGAGCCCCTACAAATGCCTCTTTACCTAAAGCTTTTTGCTTTGTAGTTGTCCTAGTAGTTACATAACCAATCCTCCTGATGATAGAAAGTCAAAGTTGCAATAGGGTCGACTTTGTAAGAGAATGTAGCATGGTATATCAATTCTGTGTTGAGTTTAGGTAAGGGCAAAAATACAGATATCTTTGTTTAAATACAAACAACATAGTCTTATAAAGAGATCTAAGAAAGGAAAGGTCCATTTGGAACAATAGTAATGCACTTATTTTATGTAAGTCCCATGGGGACACATGGATCTGCCATTACACATGAAGCCCTTATGTCTTCTCGGGAGGTGTCATCCCTTGTCACGAATGTATTTGTCATCCTAGCAGAGAATTCAAGTCATTTGTTTGCACCACATGTTGACTAGCTGTGATTTTATTGCTGCCATTAAACATTATGAACAGGAAGACATCACAGAAAGAATTAACAAATTCTCTTATCAAATGTTGACACTGACAAAAATCGCTAAGTTGACACAAGGGAAAGCAGTTAGGATATTGTTTCTGTTTGAAAGACACCGAAGTGGTTCTCTTTAGAATACTTTTCTTAGGGCTCCTATTTGCCAAGGAAGATAAGTTATACAAGAGGCAGGGTTTTGTGTTTTAATCTCTATTATGTAACATTCTTTGGAGGACAGTAGATACGAGATTATGGTACACCATCACTTTGTTACTCTCCTAGGTTTAGGAGAATTAAAAAATATCTTCTTCCTAGAAGTGAGAGTGAAGCCATTATTCTCCTTCATAATGTTTGACAGTAGCTTATTTTTGGCTTAGTTTAGTTTACTATTTAACATTAGTTCAAATTAGCAAAGAATTGTCCCTTGCTTAAATTATTTTTTCTGATAATGGGGCACCTGGGTGGCTCAGTTGGTTAAGTGTCTGACTTTTTTTTTTTTTAAGATTTATTTATTTATTTATGAGAGAGAGAGAGAGAGAGAGAGAGAGAGAGTGCATGGGCACAAGCAGGGGGAGTGGCAGAGGGAGAAGCAGACTCCCGCTGAGCAGGGAGCCTGATACTGATAATGGTCTCTATCCCAGGACCCTGGGATCATGACCCATGGCAGACGCTTAACCAACTGAGCCACCCAGGCGCCCAAAGTGTCTGACTCTTGATTTCAACTCAGGTCATGACCTCAGGGTTGTGAGATTGAGCCCTGCATCGGGCTCCGCGCTGAACTTGGAAACTGCTTAAGATTCTTTCTCTGCCCCTCCCACCCCCACCCCCCCAACCCTGCTTATGGTCTCTCTCAAAAAAATAAAATTAAAAAAAAAATTTTTTTTTCTGATAATGATTTAACTGATCCTTCAGAATTCCTAAATTCTTTGGAAATTTAGCTCTAATAGGAAGATAAAACACAAATCCACATACCGTACAATAATACAAAAGATAAACAGCTCACATTCTTAAGTTTGTTCAAAAAAGTGATTCACGGTCTTGGCGTATAGATCGTTAATATTTGCAGGCATCATTTCTTCCTGTGAAGTTAGCGCTGTGTGTTATCTCAGGTAGTCACGGAGAGCAGCAGATGTGAAAGAATGCACGTCAACTCGATGCCGTGCGTTAGATTTGGAAAGTCTGGGAAAACATACTCGCAGGTTGTGGCTCTAACTATTTAGTCAGAGCTCCTAACGGTATGAAAATTACTGGTATTGGGTGAAGTAGTAGATGTGCTCTTTGCATGAGCTATTTCTTTTATTGACTATTCATTATTTACATATGGATCTCGGGAGTAAGGAGGTTGCAAAATCATCCTTGCTCCATTATCTTTGAATATTGATAAATGACATACTGTGAACAGAAAATACAAATGTCTAAATGAGTATTTACATCATTTTGTTCCAAGGCTTGTCTTCTCAGTGTGCTGTGGATCTATCCTGTGATTTCACTGAAGGGATGGTTTCAGGAATTAGTACAGTAGGGGACCAGCTCCTTGCATGTGCCTCGTCATTTAAATATCACACTACTTCTGCTGAGCTATAGATACTCAGGGGACAAGTCCTTTAAATGCTTTGATTTCAAAGCGAAATAGAAGCCCCTGTGAGTGAATTTCATGAATTTAGTGTAAATTCTATGTTAGTATGAAGGTTCCGTGGTGTGCCCACATTTCCTAATCTGATTACCAGTGCCTTATTATTTTTCCCCTTTTATTCGGTCAAAACCATAACAGTTGCTGTCATTTTGGTGTTTCCTACAGGCTGTGGAGTGGGAGTGTGATGAAGCCACCAAGAAGGCCTGTTACAGTAAGGGCAAGTCCGAGGTAAGGGGCATGCGGAAATGCACGGTCACCACTGTTTGGAAGGACTATACGTGAAGCATTTTAATATGAAGGTTATTCCTGATGATGGTGCCTTGTAACTTGAAAAAAAAGCAGGATTCAAAATATACGTCGGACGCCTGGGTGGCTTGGTCATTTAAGCGTCTGCCTTTGACTTAGGTCCTGATCCCAGGGTCCTGGGATCGAGTCCTGCATCAGACTCCCTGCTCAGTGGGGGAGCCTGCTTCTCCCTCTACCCCTCCCCCCTGCTCGTGGTCTCTCCCTCTCTCTTTCTCTTTCACACTCTCTGTCTCACGCTCCCCCAAATAAATAAAACCTTTAAACGAACAAACAAAACAGAAACAAAATATATGTATGGTAGATTCTCAAGGTTTTAACATTAAATCAAGATTAACCACAGTTTCCAAAAAAGGACTCAGAATAGAAGAACAGATCTGACTTGCACCATTAATCATTAGGCTAAACTATGGAGTCAGTTGGCTGTGATATCATTTGGAAATATATGGGCCTGAATTTTAAAAATAACATTTTAATTTCCCCCAATTATATCTTAGAGCTAATTCCATAAAGTGACTCTATGATAAATAAAATTATTATATCAAAAATGATGAGATTTCTTTATAATTCATTTTAATGTATCTATAAAATAAACTCTCTCTCCCTCTATCTCTCTCTCTCCTCCACCCACCTCTGCTCTTTCCATATGAAAATCAGCATCCCCAAGTTCCTAAGGAAAGTGCAGTTTCTAATTAAGATTGGAAATGCAAATGCATTTCTTGAGCAGCTTTGCCCAGTGTCGACCTGCCTCCACAGGGTGGCTGGCTCAAGAAGAGCAGAATTCTTCCATCCGGGGAAATCTGGTTCTGAGAAAGTTATACAGGACCATATTGAGGAAATTCTTTTTCCAGCTGGTGCAGAGGCTCATTCTGTCTCGTTCTTTTTTTTTATTGTTATGTTAATCACCATACATTACATCATTAGTTTTTAAGGTAGTGTTCCATGATTCATTGTTTGTGCATAACACCCAGTGCTCCACGCAGAACGTGCCCTCTTTAATACCCATCACCAGGCTAACCCATCCCCCCACCCCCTCCCCTC